GTTTCTATATATGAGAGAAAACATGCAATACTTGTCTTTTTGTTCCTGGATTATTTCTGATGTCTTCCAATTTTATCCATTTTCCTTCAAATGACAAGATTTTATTCTTCTTTAGGATTGAATGATAATCCATTACATGTAATAAACCATATTTTCTTTATCCATTTATCTGTTGATGAGCACATAGGCTGATTCCATATCTTGGCTATTGTGAATAGTGCTACAGAAGGCATGGACATGCAGTTTATCTCTTTTGTATGCTGACTTCATTTGCTTTAGATCAAAACCTAGGAGTAGTATAGCTGGATTGTATGGTAGTTCTATTTTTAGTTCTTTGAGGAAACTCCATACTGCTTTCCTTAGGGGCTATTACTAATCTGTGTTCCCATCAACAGTATATAAGGGTTTCTTTTTCTTTAAAGCTTTGCCAGCAGTTGCTACTTTTGTTTTCATAATAGTCATTCCAACTGGGGTGAGACAGAGCCTCAATGTAGTTCTGATTTGCATTTCCTTGATGGCTAGAGACACAGAACATATATATATATTTTCATATATTGGCCATTTCTACTTACTCTTCTGTGAAGTGTCTATTCAGATCACTTGCCTATTTATTAATTTGTTTTGTTTTTTCTAAAAAAGAAAAAACAAATAAATTCTTTTAAATATGTATTCTAAATATTAATCCTCCATGAAATGAATAGCTGGAAAATATTTTCTCCCATTCTGTAGGTTGTCTCTTCACTCTGTTATTTCCTCTGCTGTGCAGAAGGATTTTAATTTGATGAAATTCCATTTGTTAATTTTTGTTCTTTTTTCTTGGGTTATTTGAGTCCTGTCCAAGAAATGATTGCTTGTGCAAATATTTTGGAGTGTTTCCCATGTTTTTCTTCTAGTAGTTTTGAAATTTCAGATTTTACATTAACATATTTGATCCATTTTGAATTGATTTTTGTACTGGGTGAGAGAGATGGTTTTAGTTTCAATCTGCAATCTTCCAGTTTTCCCAGTACCATTCATTGAAGAGGCCGTCTTTTCTCCAGTGTATGTTTTTGGCACCTTTTGTCAAGAATCAATTGATCAATTGGTTGAAGATGCATGCATTTATTTCTGGGCCCTCTATTCTATCCTTTTGGTTTGTTTTGTTATTATGTGTTATGGTTTGAATATGAAAGCTTTTTTCTTGTAACAAGGATTGAACCCAGGGGTACTTAACCACTGAGCAACGTCTCCAGCCCTTTAAAAAATATTTTATTTAGAGAGAGAGTCTCACTGGGTT